GTTTTCATTATTCATATACCATTTTTGTCTTGTACGCCCATACTATAATTGTATAAACAATAATATTATTATTGAGCAAGACACCACTATAATACTATTGTACCATCGCGCCAGACTTTTGAAGCTCGCTTTTACTGATAAACGGTAAATTTGTGTTTAATCTTTATGAGCTTTCGTATAAATCATATTTTAACCCTTTTATTCCTCATAAAGCACGCTATAATATTATGGGTGTTATTTACTACGAACACTTTACAGATTTTTCACATTTATACAATAACAATACGCTTTCAATATATTATATCATGCAAAAATCAATTTTATTGAAATACCTACAGTGTCATACATCTGATTGCTTTACACTTAATAAACGATGTGAATTTAATTTGATGATTAAAAATAATCCTTTGCTTAATATATCCTTTATTTTTTTCCTGTGATATTTTGGGTTAAAAAGGGTTTTAGAATGCACATGACAGGAAACTGAAGTTGTCAAGGTTTATAAAACGTGACCAACCCCTCTTGGGTGTGTGTAACTGATAGTTTTGTTGGGTCACTAGAAAGGTATGTTTAATTTCAGTTGATATGATCGAATCAAGTATATATAATATATATAGATTATACAACATTAAATGTTTGACTTAATATTGCTATATTTTTATCTAATATACACTTATATGAATATAAAAAATACTAATTTCATAATAATAATAATAATGTATAATAATATTATGTACTTGAAATCAAATGAACGATATTTAAAATGTTGTATACAAAAAATATACTTTGTATACATGGATTTTATAGTATTAATCTACTATAAAAAGAACTAAAGAGGAAATTCTTAATATTAAAAAAAAAAAAAACAGTTAATAAAATATAAAATACTAGATAAAAGCTAAGTACTTATTCAGAATCAAAATAATTGATAAAATAAAACATTTGTGTTCAATCAAATAAAAAAAGTTGAAGCATATTTAAGACATCATCAAAACAAATAATTTCAATTAATGTTGTTCGCCAGCGAATATTTTATCATATTTGTCATAATTTGTAATAAAATAGAACAGAAATACCAGTTTATTGCTATATTTTTCATACAATTTTGTGGATAACCGTTATTATTTTATATTTCAATTTAATAAGATTTTATTTCCAATGTTCGGATAAATATAGCTATAATGGTTTTTATTTTTCAGTAATACTTAAATAATTTATTACTTTTTTTTTGAAGTTCAGAAATATTGCAAATATTCTTTTGTTGTATAAAATAAAAACACAATTCTAAAAAATAAATGATCATGATTATTATACATTTTTTCTTTATTAGATTATAAATTATAAAGGAATCAAGAAATATACTTCTTATTAATATTTAACACTAATTTATTGAGCATTATGATTAAAATAATTTAAAGAAGATAACGAAACCCATTTTATAAATAATTATAATCTTAACTGCATTTTATAAGGCGTTTTAGAGACGAATGTCTAACTCAATGAGAATATATATACATATTGTATATTATGTTCACGCATTATCTCTATATAAGATAGCAATACGATCATCTAATTATAAAGATATAATTACATAAATAACAATCTCTATATTTGATATAGAAAAAAAACATTATTAATAATAAGTTAATTATTTAACATTCATTTTATTAAATAAGTAAAATTAATATTATAATAAATTATAGTCATGAAGTTAATACTTAAAACGGGCTGTAAATTAAACAAATAGATAGGTATATCAATTTAATTCAAAACATCAATTGTTGATCGTTTTGTAAATAATATATAATATATATAAATTAAATTGTATGACTTGCATTTATGTTAAATGATCAATCACTATGGATATAGAAATTTTTTTAGATTTTTTTTATGAAATAAGTATTAAAAACAGTGCGTAATCACAGTCAATGATGACAAGTGTAATCTCATTAGTTTTAAGTGAATAGTCTGTGAATAATAAGGGTAGGATATTGGTGTTTTTTTTTATTCTATCCATTATATTATTCAATATACATAAATCACATCGTAATGTATTGTAATGAATAAGCTAACTAAAAAAAAAATCATTTCATCTATAAAATTCTTTTAGATTTTTTCAACAGTTAAAATAAAATACATATAAGTACCTATAGTTAAGACTGCAAATATTTTATATTTTCAATCATATTTATACATAATAAATAATTATCTATAATCGTTCGTTGTTTGAATAAAACCAGCAAAAAAGAAAATAATTTCTAGGAACTCAGAAGTGCTTTTTTTACCCTAGATTTTCAACCCTCGACTAATTAACATTATACAGTTTTTGTTATCAGCATCAAAATTAATTAAACTATTAAACAGTATATTTTTACATATATAATTGCATTAAAGTGGTTTAATTAATAGAACTAATGAGATTTTTTTATTATTATTTATTACACGTAAGTAAATTAGCTACTTCGTTGAAAAAATTTAATTTTATCATTAAATCAATGCCATTTTTTAACACATAAATTTAAATTTAAATAATTAGAATCTCAATAACCTTGTTTTAAATCAATTTACCATTGAACTTCCTGTTGTTGATCTCATTAGTAAAAATAAGGGTATACGTAAGTCCATAAAATCTCTAAGGACCTCTAAAAAAAAAAAAAATATATAATCGAGTGAAATAAAAAGCATTTAATATTATATTACAATGAAGTATTTCCTAACTTCTACATGATGTTTTAAAATAGCTATTATTGTTCTTCCTATAAGTAGTAAGTACGAGTATAACAACCGTGAATGATCATTTTTTACTATGCAATGTACAAAAACTGTTTCGTATTTTTATGAATCAAAAGATAGGTTTATCAATGTAATTATTTTGTATACAGAAAGTAACATTAGTATCAATTATGAAGACATACTATATATCTTAGAAAACAACGGAACACGTAGACAATTCTACAAATGCAGTTGAATTACACCTACTACATTTGAATTAAATAATAATAATAATAATAATAATATCATCTGTGATGATCAAAGGTTACAGATAATTAGTCTGAATCATTAAATACTTGTTAAATTATTATGTTTTTCAATTACTCAACTAAGACGTAATAGAGATAGTATTGAAATAATTTTTCTGAAACGGTATGTTTTTAAGCTATAAGTAGGTAAATCTACGCTCAAAACCGTGTTTCGCGATCCACAGACATCACGGTACATACGTTTTTATTGCAGTAATTCACTACAGAATAGAGATAAGATTTAGGACAACAATAATTGGCCTCCAGATTTTCTAAAGAAAAAAAATACATAAATAGCAATGCGTAGTAATGCGACCAAGATTACTATGTACATTTGTCTACAAAGCTACAACTGACTCTCGATTTATTCAATGGTAATCCCTGGTTATATTCAAAACAATCTAATAATAAGACTCGAATTTTACCTAGTCTTATCTTTTTTTTTCTTTTCTTTTTTTCTTTTTTTACACTACGCTCAATTTGAAATTCGTAGAGAGACATACGTAGATAAATGTTATAAGAATAAAATCATTACTAATTTTATCAAGATTATCGCCACTGCCGTCGATGGTAAGTAACGCATTTGCGATTATTCATAGAAATACGAGTTTGCGCGGCACATTTCTAGAATTATTGTAGAAAAGAAACGATAATAATGAATAAAGCAGAATAGCATTAAAATCTAATAAAAATACCGGAATTGTCTAATATTTATAAATATTTGTAGGTATATTTATTTATGCTAACAGGGCAAGCACGAGATAACGAAATTAGGTAACATAATAATATACAGGTTGTGTTAAATAATAGCATAATACACATAAGCAGATTCATATAAGGACTGGAGAGAAAAAGTGAGGTCGTGATTTTCGAAAAGCCATAATTTGGTTACTAGAGGAGTTTTCAAGATAGTTTTTAGAAGTAATAGTGATATGGAAAGGGATAGGGAAATGAATAAAGTGAGATTGTACTTTGAAAGTAATGAGAGAAAGGAAACAGGATAGGATATAGAAAAGCACCTTCGGGACACCGGACGTCAGTATAAACTTAAGAATGGATGAACCAAGGACAGACATAAAGAGGGATCGATTAGTATATAATACGACCGTAATGGGAGTTTACCTATTATTGAACTTAAAATGACCTTTTCATAAACTAATTATATGCTCGCTAATTTTCAAGGTTTGTATACCAATAATTGCGTTAAATAATATCCGTTGGTCATTTAAACATAAAAAATGTAAACATTTTATTATATTCAGTATAACTTATTTAATGATAAAAAAAAATAAAAAAAAATGAGTTACCATTAAATTGTTTTAGCCCTATATCGTTTTATCGTTATACAAAATATAATACGTATGAATAAAAAACAACCAGATTAATATTCGTGAACGTGTTTGTTTTTTGGTCGTAGTATAATATACTGTGATCAACAAACAAAAAAACATTTTAAACCTTAAAAACTAATTATTGTAATGCTGTGTTTATATTGTATACACACACATATATATATATATATATTATACATTATACATAGATACCTTCATTTTTTTTTTCAATTTACTTAAGCTGTTGAAAAAACAGGCGAAAATAATAGGTATGAATAAGATGATAAAATATAAAATGTTAGTATAGAAAGGACGCATATACAACTATTAATAAATAATTAGTCATTTCCGGTATTAAAATTGTATGGTGTCCCCATAACGTAGTATATTCTTTAATGTTGTTTTATGATTTAAAAGTGATAAAAGCTTTTACGCTAGCTATTAGCCACGTGATTCATATTTTTTTACCTATCATTACTTATGTTTTCAGTGAAAATTCCAAATGCTTATCATAAGAGGGCTGTAAATTTGTCGAAAAATGTTTAAATATTGTATAATAAACCGTATTCAAAATTTGAAACTTGAGTATTTTTTTTTTTTTTTATGAATTTTACTATGATTTTTGACGTGTCCGTAGACTTGCACTTACCGTAGAATCCCGGTATGGCACCGAGCGGCATTACGAACAGGCACACCAGTAGGTCGGCGATGGCCAGAGACAGGAGGAAGTAGTTGGTGACGTTCTGTAGCTGCCTGTCCAGGCATATGGCCAGACAGACGAGTATGTTGCCCACACCGCCGGAAGCGATGAACACGACGACGAACAGATACTTCCAGTTGTACCAACGTTGGTGGTCGTCGCCACTGTCGGCGGCGACGGTGGCCCGAGGCCACTGTTCGCCGCTTATCGAACACGTCACCTGGTTGACGTCGTCGCGGTCGTGGTCGTGGCCGCCAACGCCGCCGATGCACACCGCCGTCGCCGTCGCAGGACAACGGTGACGTGTGCCGGGGTCGTCCGGCAGGCCAAGGACACGGCCGGCTGTCGTCGAAATCGCCGACAGCCTGGCGGGCAGGGCTGCGCCGGATGTCGGCGTCGGCGGCCCCGACAGTGCGTCGGTCGGCGCGCCGCCGCCCGCCGGCAGTCCAGCGTCCACGCCGCTGCAGTCCAGCCTGTCGACCCGGGCCTCGGTCACCAGCAGCTTGTGCGTTCGTCGTCGTGGTCATCACCATCTCGGTGCCGGCCACCGCTACGGCGGCGGCGGTGGTGGCGGCGGCGGCGGCTGCGGCGGCCGCTGTGGTGGCCGCGGTCGTCGCCGAACCGTTGTTGTAGTAGTTCCCGTTGTCCTGGTACACGGAGTACACCAGGCGGCAGATGACCTGCGCCAACCACACCTTGCCAGCTCCGTCATCGTGACCGCTGCCCATTACATTTTCTTCTGTTCAACGCACGAGACTTGAGCTGGAAAAACAATAATATTTTACTAGTCGTTTATTTCCTCTTTTTTATAAACGAGTTGATCTAATCTGTTTGTGTACCTTTGTGATAATGATACATTAAAGTACGACGTGCATGAAAACGAGAACAAATCATCGCTACCTATGTGAGGTGTTCATAAACAATAACCGTTGTAAATTGTAATTAATGGATTATTGATGATGATAATAATATATTGCATTATAGTTTCTGCGGATATATACGTATATATTTTTTTATCTAATAATTGCATTCAATGGCATTCATATAATACATACCGTCATCAGGGTTGTTAATAATTATTAAGTTGAGAAAATAGGGATTTTTTTTTTCAATATGAGAACATTTTCTTTGGATTTAATATAATATAAAGGTAATAATTTCTGACAACATGTATTACTATTATATAATAAGATAAATACACATATATTTGCTCTGTAAATGTATATATATTTTTATTATAAATTATAAAATAGTTATTTTCTTAAAAAACATAATGATTAATAAAATAATAATAGTAATATAATATAATAGACTGAATTTTTAGTAAAATAAAAAAGTAATATTAATTGTAAATTGCAAATTATTTTTTTTCTGACTCTTCTTGTTGCACAAAAAGGAAATATCATCTTTTACAAAGTTCAAGAAATCAGTACAGAAACAACTTTTAAAAAACGATCTATTTAAAGCTATCAATAATTTACTTTTTATCAGGTCAACTGAATAGTAAGTTCTAACATCTTTCCATTTTAGTTTCATTATCAAAACGACTCTTGAAAATTAGATGGCGATATGGTCAGAATAAATTCTAATAATATTTCAAATTTTTTAATTTCTAAATATTTAATTTTTCTAACGATTTTTTATACATTGTTAAAAAAAAAATTATGTTAACAATAGATAAAAAGTAGATTTGATAGCTATAAAGTCTTCAAATATTCCATCTAAAGAAATTACATAAACTAGTAAAAATATTTAATTACTTTTTCAATATCCTGATGAAGCAACAATTATGGTTTTAAACAAAATGATTCCAATAACTTTAATGACGTAAATTCATGATTAAAATGATTAGACAAATATGTTAAAACAGTGTTGTAGAACATATAAAAGTCTTTTTTATGGCATTTATGTTATATGCTGATCATTTATTCTTACATGTGATTAAATTTGAGCCATAAAACTGTTCGCTCAACGAGTTGAAATATTAGTTCACAACTCATTCATACTATAAAATAACTCAGTGTGACTCGTTACAGCTTCGAAGTAATTTATTTGCTTTTTTAAACATAATAGTTACCTATGTTAGCACAACAATGTAAGTATATACCTGGTTTTTTAAATAAATTTTCGATTTCTGACAAGTATAATTCTTCAATAAATAAAAGTTTTTTTTTTTTATTTGTTTTGGGCAGTTTACACCAAGGGAAATAAAATAAGATATCAAGGTAGGATAAAAACTTAAGAATTGTTTGGATCGCTGGCCCAATTGACAGCCACCTAATAAGACAATGTTTCACTAATTCTTGCTGTTTTAACTCACAAAATCTTTAAATCTTAGCGTCTACATACCGATACAGAAAAATGTACATATATTTTCAGTAGGTATCAAAGTTTCCAAATCAAAGTTGAGATCATCTAAAGTTTTTCAAAAAGTATTATGCACTACATATGTTAAGCAACCCGATTCTTATTATGCGATTGTAAAAGAGTAAAATCAGATTTTGTGTTATCCGCACTAAATTCTAATACTTTTGATATGCTTAAGTAGTGTTTTTTCTTAAGTTCCTAGAACCGAATTACATAAACCATCAACAGTTTTGCAGGGTTGTTCAAAAAAAAAAACTAATAGTTTTATTTGACATCCGTTTCTTAGACAAAAATATTGAACTACAAGTGGATACATTTTTTTTATTTCCTTTATTAGATGTATCTGTAGCAACTGAGAAATAAGAAATATTCTGCAATACTTTAACTTAATTTTGATTAGGTAGTAAATTGTGCACTATTATAGCTTCAGCTTTTGAAAAAACCACAAAATATTTTTATGGCTATACTTAAATTGGATAATATTTTTGAAAGCATCTTATAATCATTATCGAGAGAATTATAAAATAAGTTATGTTTTTTTATATTTTATTTAAAGTAAAGGCTTCATCATTTTGAAGTTATATATTGTATTATTAAAGATTTTACAAACTTCAGCTAAATTAACCTCTTGACTTTTCAATGTATTTTTGATTACAAATAATACATTTATTGTAGTTAAGTTTTTACAAGAACTTTCAATTAATTTATGAAAAACGATATTTACATGGTGTTGAACATCTGATTTACCACGATGAAAAAATTAAATTAAATTTCTTACATATTTTACAGTGATCACTAAAATTGTTATTTTCTGATTTTTTAAACCAATTAACCTAACCTCACTTCTCAAAAAGTATAAAAATGGAGAATGGCATTTTAATATTTATTCTTTGTGTGTCTATGTATGTATTATATTAAGTTCAGATAGGTGTTATATATATTATATATTATAATACTCGTACTAAAGCAATATCCTATTAATTCTCTCGTTGCAAGTCATATTATACTTACTCTCCGACGTTCTTAACCAAACCGTTGAGATACGTGGGGAATTACACATTCGGCCGAAGGATTATCAGAACCATTCAAATATTGTTATCCACCAGACGAGTCCCGATGACAGCCCCATGAAAGGGAATAATATTATTGTCATCGGTTACACGCGCTATACTGATTGACAGTGACAATATTTTGATGGTGATACTAAATTTTTCATAATTTTAATAAATTAACAAAACTCCAAGAGAATAGTTGTAATATGAATTGGAAACACAATTTATCAAATATAGTATAATTGAAGATTAATCACAGTTTTGATAGAATTAAAATATTATTCCTCTTTTATGGAAAAAAAAGCATAGAAAACTACTGACTAATGTTTTTTTTTTCATCCATGTTGTATTCAGTGTTATCAATTTATTTTGTTCCTAATGATTTAAAAAATAATAAAATTCACTTTTAAATCAATTTATTGTAACTTCAAGAGTACAAATTAATATTTATATGACATTTCAAGAAGTAATACTAAACAATATTTTTTAAATAAAACAAATCGACTACATTATAATTTATAAATTATTATCAAATAATATTTATTTTATAATTATATTAAAACACGATTGAAATTGGAATGCTCTAACATAATTATATAGTTTCAAAGCATGTTTGTGAAATATTTATAAATAAATAGCCAATATTAAGAAAATATACCGATAAATATTTAATAAATATAGGTGATTAACTTTGTGAATAAGTTTTATTGACTATTGCATAGTAATCGCATAAAGCTGTGAACTTAAATGAACTAATAAAATAATGTAAGAAAACGATCATAGGAAAAAGTACGGCATATAAATACCACCTTGTTGTATATTAGGTATCGAGTGATTCACTATAATGGTTGTATTAAATTTGAATTTAGAGATGTATTATTGTATACGAAAAACGATTTTAAATAATTGGCTTTCAAACAAGAATTTTTTTAAATTTAAATAGGTTAAAAAGCTTATAAAAACCTTATATTCAATTTTGAAGTATTAGATAAAAAAATTCAATTATTTATAAATGTCTAATTACATAGTAATTTTAAAAATTGCAACTTTTATGACTTTTTTAAAAATTCTAACTTTAAACGCTTTTGAATTTTTTTTTATGATTTTCTATATTTTTAATTGATAAATTAGCAACTTATGAAAAACTTTCAAATATTTCTACCTAGTAAATATTTTTTTTATAAAAAAAAGTAAAAAAGTTTTTGTAAATAAATAACATATACATATCTCAAAAAGAGTCCAAATACTTTGAAAATTTTATCGTAAATATAAAATTATAAGATAAACATTTGGTGAATTTCAAATATCTATGGTTATTTATTTTCGAGTTATGTCAAAAAAAATAAAACCGATTTTATCGAAAATTGTATTTACGTAAAATTACTGTTTATTCCTTAATTTTTGTTTTTTTTTAATTTCATAAAAAAAATACTGAGAATTTTTAATTTTTACCTCTAAATAGTACAAATTAGATTTAATGCGCTATTAGATATAACTCCCTATTTTTGAAAATCAAACTATTTTATCGAAAATTTATTGTGTACACACACAAAAAATAAAACACCCATCATTGTAAAATCAATACATTCATCACTGTGTTTAGAATCTAAAATTTAAAATGTATGTTATCAAGTATTTCTAGATATCTAACAATGTGTCTTCTATTCGTTGTGTGTTAATAACCTCATGTGGCGAAAAGCGAAAAATGTGGTGGAATGATAAATGTACCTGTGAACTATGGTCTATGATGCTTAGGAGAATAAAAGAGGTTATTGAAAAGTTTCTCAACATGAGTAGTGTTCATATCTCAAAACAATAGTAAAATGTCTCAGTGTTTATGATATATTAACTCATAATATGTAGGTTGGCCAATTTTGATAAATTATTAATTTAAAGTGGACCATTTCTTAAAACTTTAGTTTTGATAAAAGGTCCATCTTAAATTAATTTTTAAATTTTACAAATAAATAATATGTACTCTAGTACATGTTTTGACGAGATATTAAATGAGATTTTATATATTAAGTATAATAGGTATATTTTATACCTAATAAAAATTGCATAAACAATTGTATTATAGTAAATACATTGAATAATATTATATATTATAATATGCTGAAATTAAAATGTTATATTCTTAAAAATTTAACTATAATTAGTGTTTTATAATTTATTTTTCATTAAATAAAACAACTAAATTGAAATATATTTTAGTTACACTTTTAAAGGCGCATTCTTTAATTTTGCATTTATTTACTCGTCTCCTTTAAAGATATAAATTTTGATAAAATATACTTTTCAATTTAATA